TTTTTTTTTTTTTGGGTCTGGTACTGGTAGGAGTAGAAGCACCAAGGAGAAGGAGGAGAAAGCCCAGTTGAGAAGCGCGAAGAAGAAGAAGATGCGAACCTTTGGGTCTTTGTATTTGTATACTTCGCTTCTACGCACAGTATATTTGATCAGTTCACCCATCAAAACTTGAACGCCCCATTTTGCCCTCTAAAACTAAAAGAACAACTCCAACATTAAAAATCCTAATTTTTTGAACTTTCTGAGGGTAAAATAGAGGCACCCAGAAGTTTAATCTCAGCCTTTCATTATTTCATTCAACGGTTATCATTTCTCATCCGCTATGCAAACTTGACATTGATTTTGTCGAACTTATGGAAACTTGGTATGACTGATGAAGTTAGAACATACCGGACGCATATGTAAAGTGGGGACTGAAACCAAATTTAATTACAAGGTGAAATTCTTAATCTAGTTCGTGCAAAAATAAAACTCAATAAACCATTCAAAGATCAAACCGGTGTGGCCAGTTTCTTCCAAGAACTCATTGACGGTTAACTCAATGGAATGAAGTGTATTTGTACAGAATTTATCTGCCGAATGATTCAATATAGATTCACACATTGGAAAGAATAATATAACTCATTACCAGTCGTAACGTACCACCACATCACAACTCTTAGGGCTCCTGTACTGCTTAAATTTCTCCATGAGAATAACTATGAAGCCCTCGCCCCCCAAAGAGGATAATAGCTAAGCACAAGATGGGTAAGGTTACGTTTTCTGTTAATCCCGTGCAATCAAGTATAATATAATTCTTAAATTGTCGAGTAACGTTTGGAAAACAAAAATACATGTTCATTTGGTTCTAGGATGGATTTACCTCTTTCCTTTTCCAAATCTAATGGCTGGAATGACCATAGATAAACGCTCAGATCAAATTATATACACGTACACGCTCAATGATAGGGTGCAAAGCATAACACCATTTTTTAAGAGATGCACCACCAAAGTGCTCAAAGAGTTGTCTCCACATACATTGCCTTAAGGGGATGATTGGTGCCTAAATACCCAGAAAAAACTGTACAGCTTGCCTCTGCTCTACTTCAAGGTTTTTCGTCACCGAACGGTTGCCTCAGCCAACCTTGTTTGTCCCCGAGCAACAAGCAATTCGTAATCCTGCATGTTTAAATACATGAAAGTTCAACATGCAAGCAGAGCAGAGAACAGAAATTACAAAGGCTTTGTCATCAAATACAACTCAACGCTAAAAGGACTGGAAATATTGAGGGCTAATTTCGTAATCTTTTGTCTTTGGTTTGTATTAAAGATAGAGAAGAAGAAGAAGAAAAAAGTGAGGACATGACCGAGAAGATTGATGTACCTTAATCGTTTATTTTAGGCTTAACTGCTACAGTGCCCCCTGGAACATTGGTCAATTCTCACTTTACCCCCTCAAAGTTAAAGTGACCCACTATGCCCCCTTGACCAAGGTTTCGTGTGTCACTTAACCACTTTCCGTCAACGCCATCCCAAGTTCCATTAAAATGCTGACGTGGCAGGGGTATATTGGTCAATTCAACTGAGCTGGGATTTTTCCCACCAATATGGGACAGTGACGTGTTCATGTGGACCCCACATCTAGCGACTGATGTAGCTAAAACGATTGAATTGATCTAAGCTCGCTGGCGAATCAAAAAACCCCAAATTGGCTTTCTCCTCCCATAGAAGAAGATAAAACCCTAGAAATTAGAGGTTGGGTTTCCACGAAAATTGAAGATGAAGCGTGAAATAATTGACAGAGGGGAAGACTTGGATGTGGCAGCACCACGTTGCTTTTGTGGGAAGATAGCTCGCTTACAAACTTTGTGGACTGAGGCCAACCCACTTCGAAGATTCCATGTTTGTCCCAAATCATCAGGGGTAAGTTTTGTTATTCAAAGTCTGTGAATTGGGTTAAATTTTTTTATTAATTGCTATTAATGGTTGATGCAGAGGATGAAAAAAGGATGTGGGTTTTTTGTTTGGGTGGATGTTGAATTTCCACCTAGAGAGAAGGCTCTGGTGAGTTGGCTACTTAGAAGATTGAAGGAACTTGAAAAGTACGTTGGGCGTAATCAAGAGAAAGAAAGTTAATGAGTTGGCTTATTCTTTCCTGGGGTTTAGTAATGTTTCTGTTGTTTTAGCACTTTCTGTAAAAGTTGCCACAAAATGTGGGCATTGCAATGGAGAAATTAGGCAGATTTTAGAAGTTTGTATTTTGCAACTGTATGTAAAATATCATGTATTGGTACGTATGTAATGATGGAGGAACATGGTTTGATTTTTGCAACTGTATGTAACAATGTATTGGTACTTATCTAATGAATGTGGTTTTTGAAAACAATGTGAGAGTCAGTTTTTGGATTTTGGTACTTCTGTAATTGTATTAAAAGCATTACCAAAACAACAGTACCTCCAACATTTCCCAGTTTATAACATCAAAATTGCACCAAGCTGGAAACAGTTTATAACACTGATATAATCCGTACAAGTTATAACATCCATCAACTCCTCACAGTTTATAACATTACTTTCAATCAGGACCTAAGATCAAAATGAATACCAATACTTGATACTATTGAAAGGTTTGTCCTTAACAGTTGGACTTGCAAAATAACAGTGGAATGAAAAGGTCTTCATAAGAGGCATTTTAACAAAACACAGAACACTTGCACATCATTAGAATCTCCAAGGTTGATAACCATCCAACAAATCCTTCCGATTGCTAAATTTCATCCACTTGGCATGAGATTTGAACCTCTTTTTTATTGAACCACTGGCAAAAGGGTGTGATGAGCTTGCACTTGGTTGAGATCCATGCGCAGTTTGAGAAGTTTGGGTAGGTTGAAAACATGGGCTAGTTTGAGAACCTGGACAAGCTTGCACAGATTCACTTCCTTGCACAAATTGTGATCCTTGCACAGTTTGAGAACCATCATTCCTTTTGGTAAATTTAATCCTCTTTACAGGAGACTTGAACCTCTTTTTTTTTGCAGTTTGAGAAGCTGGGGCAGTTTCAGAAGCTTGGGCAGTTTCAGAAGCTGGGGCAGTTTCAGAAGCTTGGGTTGTTTCAGAACATTGGGCAGTTTGAGAACAGTGGCCAGTTTCCAACCTTCTTCTGACCTAAACATTCAAGCACAAGGCAATTTACATCAACAACATCCCATACCTCTTCCTCTAAATATGTATAAAAGGAAAGTCACTTACAGGTTGCTTGGCTCTTGATTGTCTTGTAACCCTTTTGGTTGATGTCGTGTTAATTGTTTTCTTCACCTTTGGTTTAGATGGGACCTAACATAAGAAGAGAATCACTTGAAAATAAATAATAAAGATCCAAAACAAATAAGTATTGTCAATGTTTTTTGGGAAGAAACAAACCTGACTGCTACTGCCTTCTTTTGCCTTAGGGCAGCTCCTCCTATTATGGCCTCCTTGTCTACAAAGTGAACACTTGGTTTCGAAGTTATACCTTTGCAACTTGGTGTCTGTAGGATTAGATTTGCATGGTTGTTCACCTGCTGACCTCATCCTCTTCTTCCTTGGTCTCCCAAGTTGTTTGTGATAAAGTGGTGGCATCAAAGGAGGCCTATGACACTTAGGCCACAAGTCTTCACTTGTCATTGGGTGAACCATTGGATTGTAAGCTCTCATAAAGGCTTCCTTCTTGTAACAAGCATGTACATAAGCAATATGATCCCCATTTAATTGCCCAATGGCAGCACAAGCATGCTTGCATGGGATCCCAATGATATCTCATCTCCTACCTGAACAACTATGCCTTGCCAAATCAACCACAACCTGACTTCCATCATGGTTTTTGACCTTATATAAACTCTCCCCGTCAAGCTTTGGAATGCACCAAGCTGATTCTTTCTTCGTTTTCTCCAAAATGCCAAAAATCCTTGGACCAATGTCATGTTTCCATCTATCACAAGATGCTCTTCTAGTTGCCATCAACAACATAATATAGTATATAATCCTCTCTAGCATGGTTAAAATGGGTTTTTCTCTGACTTCTACAAGGGCACCATTAAAAGCCTCACACATATGATTCAAAAGGATGTCACACTTGGAATGAGTTTTAAAGTGAGCTCTACACCATTGTGATGAATCTAAGGCTGTCACCCAATCAAATGCAGCTTGGCTCAACTGTCTCATATTTTTCATCTCAGCATCCCACCATGGGATGGTTGTGCTCCTTGCGATTTTCTCCATTTGCAATTTCAACACCAATCCTCTGTGACCAGCAAGCAAAAAATTTGCTTCTAAGTGTTTGAGGCAATGCCTATGCTCAGCGTTTGGAAAATTATCATGTACTGCTTCAATCAAGCCTTTTTGCTTGTCTGTGATAAAGACATATCCTGTGCTATTTTCGATTCCAAGGTCCTCTGCCAACAGTTGACAAAACCATGACCGTGTTTCATAATTCTCCACCTCAGCCACTGCATAAGCAATAGGATACATGCCATTGTTAGGATCCACACCAACAGCAGATAACAATTGTTCAGGGTGATGACCTTTGATATGACAAGCATCAAATCCTATCACTAGCCTACATCCCTACAAAAACCTGTAGCCAAGCAAATGTAAATCCTCTGAAACCTTGGCCTTTCACCGTCCATCTCACATTTGATAATGACTGTGCTACCCACATTTGTCCTCCTTAGTTCAGCACCATAATCCCATAATAACTCATACTGCTTTTCATAAGTCCCCTTAGTTATGGATGTTGCCTTCTGCCTTGCCCTATATATTTGGGATTTAGAAGCTATCACAGACAAATCTTCTTGTACCTGCTGCTTAAAACTCCCCATATCCCAATTATGCAGTCTAGACAGTTGAGCAGCATATATTTGAGCTAACCATGTTGAGTTAGCATGAAAGTTGTGGTCAACTGTCCCACAATCATGCACGTCAACCAACTTCTTCACTTGAACCCATTCACTACCATTCACTGCTGAAGCAAAACAAACCCAGTTGCAATTCCCTGCACACACTGCCCTCACCCTATCACGATCATTGCATTTGAATTTAATCATCCTTCTGTTTATAATTGAATAGTTCCTAATTGCTTTCCTAAATAGGTCAGTGGTTGCAAATCTTAAACCCAGCTTAAACACAGGGTTGCGCAAGTCTGTTTCCGACCTAAATTCATGAAATTTAGGCAATTTTCTCTTCCTTTTCTTCTGTTTCCCATCATTCTCGTCATATGAGCTACTATCCAAGCTCTCAACATCACTTTTAGCAACATCAGTTGACTCCCGATCTTCATCTACAGGGGCATTTGGGTCTTCAACTACTTCAGGGTGGTCTACATAATTTTCAAATGCTTTGTCATCCTTTTTCAACAACTCACATTCATTTTCACTCTGCTCATAAACACTGTCAACAAAATCAGGGTCATCTTCCTTATCTTCTTCTTCACTGTCTTCATTCATGTCTTCCACATTAGTCTCACCCATATCAGCCCTATTACCCTCATTGTTCAAGGGCTCATCATCATCACTTGAATCCCAGTCTTCAACTATGCAAGCAGGCCCATGATTCTCAGTAAAAGGCCGCCCCTATTTATCATTGTTCAGTGGCCCACTGCCTTTAGTAAAAGCCCCATTTTCATCATTGTTTAGTGGCCCAATATCCACATTCAAAGCCGCACCTTCCTCTTCACTATTCTCATTCAATGCCAGACCTTCCTCTTCACTATCCTCATTCAAAGGCACACCTACCTCTTCACAATCCTCATTCACAGTAACACCTTCCTCTTCAATGTGTTGTCATAAATTAGCACCACTCTCTGATAAGAAAGTGGTACCTTATCACACAAACTTAACAGCTTACCATCCGTGTCTATATCCACTAAGTCATCATTTACTATTCCTTTAAGTGATACTTTCCCTATGTGCCCAAGCAGTTTCACTTGCTCCCACATCTCTAACATATTTATATACTCTACAGGACACCAATCCAAATATCCTATAGACCCTCCACTGTAACACCACTTATTCTGTTTGTTTTTCACAATTCTACCACCATGATGCACTTCAAAAGTGACCAACTCTTTGTCCTCTACACACAAACAAAAAATGTGTGTCTTTAACAACAGCAAAATAGTATTCTAAGCCAATTATTAAAAGCAA